CACGGGGCACCCCAAAACCCCCCGGGACCCCCAAAACCCCCATTGCACCCCCATTGCACCCATGGGACCCCCATTGCACCCATAGGAACCCCATTGCACAGGATGCCCCCCTTGCTCTGGGAGGGGCCCACGGGGGGGTCACGGGGCACCTCAAAACCCCCCGGGACCCCCAAAACCCCCATTGCACCCATGGGACCCCCAAATATACAGCCCCCTAGGACCCCTCTAGGAGCCCTATAGCGCCCATAGGACCCCCATAGGACCCCTATAGCGCCCATAGGTGTCCAATACGACCCCTATAGCGCCCATAGGACCCCTATAGCACCCCTCTAGCACCCATAAGATCCCTTTAGGACCCCCCTAGGACCCCTCTAGCACCCATAGGACCCATATAGCCCCCATAGGACCCATATAGGAACCCTCAAGGACCCCTATAGCGCCCACAGGACCTCTCTAGCACCCAGAAGAGCCCTATAGGACCCCCCTAGGCCCCCTATAGCACCCATAGGACCCCTATAGCGCCCATAAGCCCCCTATAGGAACCCCCTAGGACCCCCATAGCGCCCATAGGACCCCTATAGCGCCCATAAGAGCCCTATAGGAASCCCATAGGACCCCTATAGCGCCCATAGGACCCCTATAGGATCCCCCAGGACCCCTCTAGCCCCCCAGCCCCCTATAGGATCCATAGGTGCCGACCGCGCCGGTCTTGCTGCTGTCGGCGCCGCACTCAGGGATGATCTTGGAGAGCTGCACGATCCAGTTGTTGATCTTGTCCCGGCGCCGCCGCTCCACTGCCCCAAAAGCGGCCGGATTCACCCCAAAACGGCCGCGGGGGGGCGGAGCGCGGGGGGGAAATGGGGGGAAATGGGGGAGGGGAGCGAAGGTGCTCGAAAGGGGGGGGAACGGCCCCAAAATGGGGGGAAATGGCCCCAAATGGGAGGGAAGACCCGGAAAATGGGATAAAATAGCCCAAAATAGGAGGGAGTACCTGAAAATGGGATAAAATGTCCCAAAATGGGATAAAATACCCCCAAAGTGGGATAGAATAGCCCAAAATGGGATGAAATGGCCCAAACGGGGATAAAATGACCCAAGAGGAGATGAAATAGCCCAAAATGACCCAAAATGGGAATAAAATAGCTGAAAAGGGGATAAAATATCCCAAAAGCGGATGAAATGACCCAAAATGAGATAAAATTATCTAAAATGGGATAAATTGAACCCAAAACAGGATAAAATGACCCCAAAATGGGATAAAATGACCCCAAAATGCAACAAAATGTCCCAAAATAGGATAAAGTAACCCAAAGTGGGATTACATGCCCCAAAACAGGATAAAAGGACCCAAAATGGGGTAAAATGACCCAAAATGGGGTAAAACGCCCCTGGGATGGGACAAAACCCCCAAAAGGGGGTAAACGGCCCCAAAAGGGGCCCCGCTCACCCTCGTTGTGCTGCGCCCGGCGCCGCTCGTCCCGCGGCGTCCGCGGCCCCTCCGGCTTCCTGCGGACACGGCGGGATACACTGGGATACACTGGGATATACTGGGATACACTGGGATATACTGCGATATACTGGGATACACTGGGATACACTGCGATACACTGCGATACACTGGGATATCCTGGGATACACTGGGATATGTCGCGATATATTGGGATGTAGTGAGATATATCACGATATATAACAACATACAAGAACATATTAGGATATATTGGGATATATTGAGATATACTCGGATCTGTTGGGATATATGGGGATATATTGGGATATGTCGGGATATTCTGGGATATACTGGATTATACTGGGATGTATTGGGATATGTCGGGAGATATTTGGATACATCAGGATAGGTTGCTATATACTGGGATATAGCGGGATATATTGCAATATACACAGATATATCGGGATATACTCAGGTATGTCGGGATATATCGGGACATATTGGGATGCTTGGGGACGTTTCAGGACATTTTGGGACATATCGGGGTGCATCGCGACATGCTGGGATATATCGGGACGTTTGGGGACATTTGGGGATATTTTGGGACACATATACAATATATCGGGATATACCAGGATACGTCGCGATAGACGGGGATATATCGGGACGTTTGGGGATGTTTCGCACGGGGTGCACACGTGTGCCCAGGCGTGTTACCACGCGTTATCGCGTGTTATCACATGTCACCRCGTGTTATCACGCGTTATTGCATGTCATCACGTGTCATTGCATGTTGTGGCATGTTATCACGTGTTATCATGTGTTGTCACGTGTTATCATGTGTCGTCGCGTGTCGTCGCGTGCGCGGCACTCACGGCGAGTAGGGGTGGGTGCGGGGCGCGATGGTCCGGGGCGACCCCGACTGCAGCACGTCCTGCGGCGCCATCATCACGTAGAACTGCCCTGCGGGG